TCTAAGATCCTTAAATGCAATATATGTGAATCGTGCATGAGTTGGGATATTATGTACAGGTTGTGACCCCTTGAGAAGGGAGGTGCCTATGATGTTAATGTTGTTGTTGTTGTGCTGTTGTGAGGACAATCATGCGCACACACACTCCATGCATAAACATGAATATGATGTATCAATGTTTTTAATTGAAAGTATAGTTCTCAGATGCACCTTTTACTCATTATTATGCATGAAATGTACATGACCATGATGATCCTATTGTGTTGATTGAAAGTCCATTCTCATGAGAACACATGATCTTGGTGTGAAAGTTATACTCACATAATAATGATGATTCTAAGGTTGAAAGTTAGTTCTCACCTTTAAATGAATCTATGAGCTATTTAGTGAGTTGTATTGAACGAAGGGTAAAGTATGCCTTCACATATGTAGATACAATTCCATACTAATTATGTATAATTGGGAAATAATGCTTAGTACCGAGTGGATATGGACTATGAGGAAAAGTTCCCTCCACTAATGCAATAGGTTGGGTCATCTATTCATGAGATGGAAGCTCCTCCGCTAATGCAATAGGTTGGGTTTCTAGTAGCAATCTCCCTATCCCATAACTATGTGCCAAACATAGGACTTAGCTAGTGGATCCACTTAGAAGCTAAATATAATTAGTTCTACCTTCGGCAAGTAAGAACGCCTTCTTTCGGTGTGGGGTTATATGACACCGAATTCCATGTATCTCACATGGTGTATGTCGGTTATGGCAACTTTTCCCTATAATAATGAAGTTAATGAATGAGACATGAACTATACTATGACTTCTTGGCGAGTTTACTTAGTAGGAGTAGGGGTATGGGACTTCACTTCCACATTGCACAAGTAGACTTAGTAGGATGTCATGGGATGGTTCCTTTGCATTATGATGAGATTCGAATGTATGTATGTATATTGAATGGATAGTTGTTATGCATGAACTTCCTTGTATTCAATTAATGTACATGACTATTTCCTTAATTGTGAATATTGCATATAATGAAGTCTAAAGACGTAATGCATCACTAAGGTAGCTTCAAATGAGTACTTAGTAGGGTTGGTATTATGGGATGCTAACCCCACATTGCACAAGTGTTCCCTAGAGGTTACTAAGGTAATGGCTTTACCATGAAATGAGTATGAATGTGATATTGGATTTGTGTTGTACATTGTAAATAATGTTAGTTACCATACTGAAACGACCCCAAAAATGCCCGAAAATGTGC